AAGATGAGGACAACAAATCAAGTGGAAGCCTCTGTAGTGTCAACAATATCCGCCTGAATCAAATGCAAGGGTTCTGTAAGCTTTCTGAAATAGTTTTAGCCAACAGTCAGCATCATCCATGACCAGTAGACAGAGAAGCAGGTGCTGAGAGTAACACAGAGCAAACTAAAGTGCGATGCACAAGCTACTAGACAGATGCCGTACCTTGGCAGCCAGAGAGAAGCATGAGGTCTTCATGCTAGTCTATGATGCCCTGTTCTGACCTGCGACTCGTGGGGACACTAGGCCAGGACTGAGTTATTGAGAAGACCCAGCCCTGCAGCTGTGCCAGCTCTGCCCAACCCCTGCTGATTTGCATGTGCCCAGAGCACAGCTCAGTACCCTGAGGACTTTTAAAGGGGCTGGTCACACCCTGTGTATGAGTCAGTCTCAGCCAGGACACAGCATGGAGTCAAAAGCTTCTATTCAGCTGCTGGGGATCCTGCTGGTCTGGATTCAGGGTAGGAAAAAAATTACTGGAAGTTTGTTCAGGACAGTGTGGTTAGTTTTCTTAGCATACCCCAGATTTCCTCTGTTCAGGTCATTAATTTTGTCAATATTTGTTTGCATTTTTTTCAATTTCAGGAGCCAGATGTGACATCCAAATGACCCAGTCTCCACACCTGTCCACATCTCCATCACTTGAGAAAAAGTCACCATCGCTTGCCAGGCCAGTCAGGATATTGACAGCTACTTGAACTGGTACCAGCAGAAACCAGGGAAAGCTCCTAAGCGTCTAATATACTATGCATCAAACTTGGATTCTGGAGTCTCATCAAGATTCAGCGGCCATGGATCTGGCACAAGTTACACGCTAACCATCAGCAGCCTGCAGCCTGAAGATGTCGCCACTTATTACTGTATGCAGTATGATATGTGCCCTCCCACAGTGATACAACCCATGACATAAACCTCGCAGGGAAGCAGAAGTGGGAGGCTGGGCTGCCCCAGCTGCTCCTCCTGGTGCCTGCACCTGCTGAGAGTGTTGCTCAGATGCAGCCAGGTTTTCAAGGTCATTAGGAAGATTTGGGAGAAGAAAGTAGAGAGGCTCCCATGCACCTCCATTCTTTCATCTGCTCAGCTTCAGCATTACAACCATCATGGTGTCTCTCATCACTTAATAAAGGACAAGGTTTTTTACACCAGAGTAGTTGTGGTCACAATATCACTTGCAATTCACATAGCACAAAAGAAGGCCTTATAAATATCCCAAATAATTGTCATTGTACAGAAAATTGAGAGCAGAAACTGCAGCTTTGAAGGTGCAAAGGGATATGGTCATCAGAGAAGCTGATACATGAAACAGGAGATTTTCTGTTACTTTCTCAGAGTCTTGAAATCACCTCCCTCTGAGTATAGGCTGACTGCCCTCTGGCCCTCATACCTGCCCAGAAAGCCTGTGGTGGGGGACTGATGCTCTCAGGCAGCTCAGCACCTTGCTTGGGATTCTCCTGGTGACAGCTCTGGCCATGGGTTGCTTGTACACAAAACTAAATATCAAATCCCCCTTTTCTGGGGGATCACATGGGAGAACCCCTCAAGATGAAAACCTACAGCATATCATAAAAGGAAATTCAGATCTTAAAGTAAATTTCTACAAGTCCTAGTGAGGATGAACACTGACATTTGATCTCACCTAACGATCACTGTTACCTCAGCACTCCTTTTTCTACAGAATACATTGGGATTTCAATATAAGCTGCAAAACTAGGGTCACAGCAATAAATACGGCCTTGTTTGATACCCCTATGTTAATGTCTACTTCAGCCTGCCGTGGTCTGACTCCTGGCCAGGGGGCAATTACTCACAGGGAAGCTGTTGTAAACACACCCCACTTGGACACCAACACTGAGCATCACTCCCACCATTCCCACGTGTCGACACCATAGGGGCCCCTCTGTGACTGCAACTCCCCGTGTATGGATTCCAGATTCACTTTCCACATGCCTCTTTGAGGAACTTCGTATTTAAAGGCACTCATGACAATGTGACTGAGAGGATTTCTACTTCCCCAAACTATGCTTCAGGTTAAGAGTGACTAGAAAGTGTGAGGAAAGGTTCACAGTACTCATGTAATTTCAGTCACGGACCCACACAGGTAATTTCCAAGCAGAGCTGGGATGTTCCCTCCCATGAGGGAAGAGTAAACATCTGATCTTGGAAGATTTGTTGGAAGTAGATGAACATTCCTAAATGCAGTAAGACAGATTGCTTAGCCCCAGATTATTAATGACATAAACAGGTTTTCTTTTCGGGGCTGGCTCAGCCCACACTGGTGGTAGGGCTGGCATGATATACAGTGCTGGGGACTGAACCATGGTCCATGCATGCTTGCCTAAGCTTACCAAAGCAAGCACTTTTGACCATTGAGCTATCCTGCCAGCCCTCTGGATCGTCTTTATAAATATGGACTCCTGTTTTATATATTTTTTCACTTCAACTTCACACAGAAGTATAAAAAAATTAAAGAAAAAATAAATCCACTGTTTCCTGATACTTAGACTTTAAAACTAATGAAATTATTTCATAAATTTTCAGTTTTTGAGACAGTGTCATATATAAGCATTCTGGTCATACATGAAAAGTAGCAAAGAAAGCATATATGAATCTGGGAAAGAACATGATGACACACTCCTCAGAAGGTTCTAGAACCATTCCGTCATACTGACCCCAGATAGAAGTATGTACTCTGCAGACTGGTGTGCGCTGCTCTGTTCTGACCAGGGGACATCTGGGGACATTCGTTCCCTGAGTAGCTAAGATGAATAAGTCTCACAGCTGTGCCCAACCCTGCACATGTCCTGCTCATTTGCAGTGGTGTAGAGCACAGCCCACTGCCTTGACAACCTCTTAATAGGCTAATAACAGCCTGTGCAGGAGTCTGTCCCTATCAAAACACAGCATGGGCATGAGGAGCCCATTCAGCTCCCAGGCCTCCTGCTGCTCTGGCTGCCAGTTAAGGAAGGACAACACTGAGAAATCACCTTGCTTACTGTGGCCAAAGCTTCTGAAATCTTCTGGGAAGCCCTCCTCAATCATAACTAAATGTGTGGATATTTGTATTCAAGCTTCTAACCTCAACTTCTAGATGTGACATCCACCTGATCCAGCCTCCATCCTCCCTGTGTGAATTCTCAGGGGAAGTGTCACAGTTACATATGGAATGGGTCTGGGTGTTATTCAGTACTTAAACTGGTACCAGCAGTAACCAGGGAAAGCCCCGCAATACTTTATAAGTGTCTAGTTTAGAAACTGGTGTCTCATTGAGGTTCAGTGTCAGTCAGTGTGGAACGGAATTCACTCTCCCATCAGCAGCCTGCAGCCAAATGTTGTGATGTATTCTTGTCTATAGTACAGTAGTTACCTTCCTACAGTGATACAAGTAATAGCATAAACCACCTGGGGAAGCAAAAGCGTGAGACTGCGCTGCCCCAGCTGTTCCTCCTTGTTTCCGCATGCTGAGGGGCTCTTCTCTGATGCAGCCTGGCTTTGAGGCCAAGGGAACATTGTAGTAGGAGGTGCCGGCGAGGCTCCTCTTATACTCTTTTATTTCATCCTCAGCCCCAACAGCATGCATGATAATATCTCTTTTTATGTAAATGAAAGAGATGATTACACATGAAGAGCTGGATGATTACATTAGTTGTCATTCATATAGCAATAAGTAAGCTGCTCCAAGAAAAAAAAAAAAAAATATATATATATATATATATATATATATATATATATATATATATATATATATCTTGGGAGAGAAAATTTGAATCTATACTACAGCTTTCAAAATTCTTTTTATACTATATGTTGTTTTTGTATTTTATGTATCAATTAAGAGTAAGTTAATAATACCTTTGAAAAATAAGCATCTCTGGCAAAAAAAAAAAGTACATCCACACACAAAATCTTCCAGTGAATTATGTCCATTGTCACTTGGCACTTAATTTCACTAGTACATGACAAACTATGGAGGGGTTAGGCGTATCGGCACCCCAACTTTGAGCTCCCTAAGTGGCTCACACATCCAATGGAGAAGTAGCAGTGAATATTTTTTTTAGTTGTTAAAGAGAGTACAAATTAGAATGAAAACAGAAAAATTACAAGTGATACATAATTTCATTTAACAAAGTAATATGAATTTCATGCTACTTGTTGTAATACACAGTGTTTGTTGTCTTCCAGTTATTCATATGACCAGATAAATGCATGTAAAATTAGAAGAAAAAAAGAAAAAAAGTATGAGATGCAGAAGAGAAAAATTACAAACTATTGAAAAAAGGAGACAAAACAAATTAAAGCACTAACTTCTCCTTTCCATAGACCAGCAGAAATGCACAGTACAGTTGTCCAAATCATCCTGCTTACGTACATAGATGCATCTTTTTCCCTGACTCCCTCTCCTCTCCTCCTCTTCAATTCAGTAACTCTTTCCTTTTGAATAAGTTTATTCCTTTTTCCCAGTATCTATTCTATCCTTCAGATTCCATTTTTCCATCTTAAAGAAGATGCAGTATTTTTACACAATAGAGTATTATTCAGCTATGAAACAGGATAAATTTGAGATTTTTGTTGGTAAATGGATGCAACCAGAGAACATACCCTTAAGTAAAATAAATCAGACCCACATGTGGGAACATCATGTTGTCTCCTTAGTTTAGCAATGAATCTTTACTATCAAATTCCGTCTTCCAGACAAACCATGTCACATAATGGCTGTAGTTTAGATGCCAATTCCCATAATCTACAAATTCTTGCTTGGAATATCCACAGTGGCTTCTGGTTTGCTATACAAATTCCAAACTCAGATCCCCCAAGTTTCAAAACCTCAAGGATGAAAACCAAAAGATCCAGTGTCATATCTGAGCTGGTGGAACTTAAGAGGGGGAAAATATTTGCTGTAGAAATGAACTTCTCTGAGCCTTTGGTAAAATCCTCCCAGTGACCTTCAAATCCTGGCTGCATCTATGACATGATTGCAACAGGGGAAGCTATCTGGAGGAGCATTTGAGGAAGCCCAGGCTCACACTTCTGCTTCTTTGGGTGGTTTTGTTATGGCTTATATCACTGTGGGAGGGAGCTCATCATACTGCATACAGTAATAAGTGGCAACATCTTCAGGCTCCAGGCTGCTGATGGTGAACGTGAAATCTGTCCCAGACCCACTGCCGCTGAACCTTGATGGGACTCCAGAGTCCAAATTGGTTGCCCGGTAGATTAGACGTTTAGGGGCGTTCCCTGATTTCTGCTGATACCAGTTCAAGTAATCACTAATACCCTGACTGGCCTGGCAAGTGATAGTGACTTTTTCTCCTAGTGATGCAGACAGGTATGGAGACTGGGTCATCCGGATGTCACATCTGGCACCTGAGATTGGAAATATAGATACAAATATTTACCAAATCAATCATGTTACACACAGTCCTCTAAAGGCCGTGCAATACTGACCATACTCAGTACAATATTTTGCCTCCTTACCTGGCAGCCAGAGCAGCAGGAGGCCCAGTAGCTGAGCAGGGACTGCCATGTCCATGCTGTGTCCTTGCAGGAACTGACCGGCTCCTCACAGGGTGTGAGCAGCCTATGAAGAAGTCCTCAAAGGAGGAGGTTCTGCTCTGAGAAACATGCAAATCAGCTGGGGTTGAACGGGTCTGGCCACAGCACTGGGGCTGGCTCATCTCAAAAGCTTAGCTGTCCCTTGTGTCCCCAAGAGTCACTGCATTAAAAACGCAGTAAGTGTCTGCCTGCAGAAAATCATTCCTTTGGGGGCAGCCAAAAGACAGCACTAGTCCCACATCTAGTATATAGTGTGTCCCTTTGATTCCTTCTAGGTTCTTTTGATTCCTCTTTGAGAGGTGGGAAGTATGACACGATGTCATGAACTGCAAGGGTATTTAAGTGTCACTTGCATCTGGCAGTGAAGCGAAGGCCAGCTGGAGCAGCTCCCTCTTTGTTCTAATTCCACTGTTTCCTTGGTATAGAGTTTAAGAGCAATACAACGTTAGGGATGAGATTTATAAGGAAGGGTGAGCTCCGTCACCGCTGACCTCTCCTCTCTGGCCAAGCATGCTGACTTACTCCTTTTATGGGAGCTGTCTGCTCCTTCTATCAAGTCCTCCCCAAGGCAGGGGTTTTCTCCCTTCCTATTTGATGAATATGAACTCCCTTCCTAGCTCTGCTTTGGGTTACCAGATCCATGCCTGCTGGTTATGGGATGGTTCATGTTTGTCCTGATTTCAATCCTGTCTGAAACTATATATATTTCCATATAGATCGAAGTTGTTCCTCTACCTATCGTCCACTAATGCCCCTGAACCTATTATGTTCTATAAATATGCATACTTTGCCATCACCACATCATTTCCAGTTTCTAAAGAAATGTATCACAATGGCTGCATTTAAGACCATGGGGCCCAAGCAAAGTAAATACAGAACAATGCAGATAGGACAGTGAAGGTGGAAGCTGTACATGGGAGCTTGGATCAAGAATGGGGTCCAGACAGTATTCCCAAATTGGAGTGCTGATGTCCTTGACTCAGAGAAGACACCCAGGAAGGGCAGGATGAGACAGCATAAGCGATGCTGGGGGCCTGTGTGCAGGAATCAGGACCAGGCTTGATGAGAAGGGTGCCCACAGAAGGGCCACAAGATGCCGAAGGTGGACCAGCTGGGTGGTTATCCTTGGGGGAAGTTGGATATAATAGATGATGATGGCAACCACTGA